CTTTCTCAATTAGAAATAAGAATTATCTACTCAAGATCTGAGATACCTGAGCTGACTTGATCACAAGTCTGTTATTGCAAAGCAGTTGCATCTTCTAAAGGGAAAATGGGGACTTTTACAATTGGGAGTCAGGGAAGGAACACATTTGGGGTAGGCAAGAGACAGAGGTTATAAATAAAGAGAACAAAGCTCATTGGAGATTTTAAACCCCATTGATGGGATCTCAATGTAATGTTTGAAGGGGGATTAAAAGGGGATTGCAAAAATTAACCACCTATTGTGTGCCAGTCACAGGGCTTTGTGTGCTGACACAAGGCTGCAGTGTGATGATAGAAGTAAAACCTGGCACTTAGGACACACTAAATAAATAGCGGTAATCGTTATTACTTAACGATGGGCCAAATAGGCTCAAAGGGTTAAATAAAGAACTCAACTTTCCTCTGAATTGGAAATCAGATCTGATTCCATCGTACCACTTCGAATCTTATTAATACCATAGACAGGTGAGATTCCTGGACCACTGACAGGATGCTCTGTGTCCTACCTATTTGTTAACCTCTTCCCATGTATCTTTTCTAGTAATAATTGATAATAGAATATTTAGCATGTGATGGTCTTTGGCCTGTCTCCAGGAGTATTCAAGCTAAGTCCTGGAGCAGAAGGTGAGGTGGCCCAAGAAATCCTCGACTTTCTTCACTTCTACAACATATTGAAGCTAATAAACCGAGAAATTAGTTTGTCTTCAGGGTTGTCTGCTCCAGGGCCATCTGCAGCCCAGCAGCATCTCTCTGCACTCAACAATGATTGCTTTAGAAGGGACAAGAGTCAGAAGGGAAGTCTGAGGCATTCAGCATTCTGAGCTGCTCCTTTGCAGGCTGACACACACACACACACACACACACACACTGAACAGGGCCTGGAAACAGTAAAGAGAGAAGGGTAATGAATCCTCAAGTAAAACCTGATGTGGTCAGGGGAGCAGGTGATACAGGAGAAAGCAAGAGACCTCTACCTCTTCTCCAACCGGATTAGTCAGGCTAGGCTAGGCTTTGCTGCCATGACAAGCTAATACCCAACTCCCAGGAGCTTAATACCACAAAGGCATATTTGTTGCTATGCCATCTAGATTATATGTGGTCTCAAAGAACCCCTCAGCAGGGGAAGAGAAAGCATGGAAGTGGTAACTTGGATCTTAAATATGTCACTTGGAAATGACTCACGCCACTTCCACTTACATGGCCTTGATGAGAGTTAGTCATATGATAACAGCACAACTGTAAGTTGACTGGAACTCTTTCCTGTGCCCAAAGAGAGATGGACCAGACACTGGTAAACATGAGACATCTCTAGAACCATATACATAAATAGGACCTTTTTCTGTTTCTACCTCCTTTTGTGTTTTGCTGAGATCCATGATCCATCCCACTATATGCTGCCTACCAACTAGAAATATCTCTCCCCCTTCCTGCACTTATCCAGCTGTCCCTCTGTTCCTACCCCAGGGAGCTCAGCATTACTGCTCTGCACAGCATGGGTTGTAGACCCAGAGGGTGGAGTGGGGAGGCACCTCCTCTAGGCCTACCAACCCAACTAAGGCTTTAACTCTTTTCCATTTGATCCTCAAAATGACTTCATGAGATAATTATTACCTCCACTTTACAAGTGGAGAAACTAAAATTTAGAAATGTATGTAATTTTCCAAATGACACAGCTATTGAGTGAAAAATACCAAATCAGACTTTCATGTATTCATTTACTTTTCAGTAAGCATGTATTGAGTACAACTTAGTATTAATATGTAATCCCACATTCCCTAGTGGTTGAAAACATCATCTTTAGATTTGGATGGTGTTTGATTCTAGGTAGGAAAAGGTACTAAACTACTCTGTGTCTCTGTTTCCCCACCTATAAACCAATGACAATAACACCACTTACGGCCAGGTGCAGTGGCTCACACCTGTAATCCCAGCACTTTGGAAGACCGAGGCGGGTGGATCACCTGAGGACAGGAGTTCGAGACCAGCCTGACCAACAGGAGAAGCCCTGTCTCTACTAAAAATACAAAATTAGCTTGGCATGGTGGCGCATGCCTGTAATCTCAGCTACTCGGGAGGCTGAGGCAGGAGAATCGCTTGAACCTGAGAGGTAGAGGTTGCCGTGAGCCGAGATCATGCCATTGAGCTCCAGCCTGGGCAACAAGCATGAAACCCCTTCTCAAAAATAAATAAATAAATAAATAAGTAATATCACTTACTTCACAGGGCTAATGTAAGAATTTCATGAGCAAATGTATCAAAAGTACTTAATATGATACCTGGCTCATAAGAAACACTCAACAAATAGTAGCTCATGGGAAAACTAACCAATAAATATAAGTCCAATAAGGGCTGTGGTCAATGCAAAATCAGGATGTCCCTGGTGGGCAAGAAGGGAGACATAAATCAACTTAGGGTATCCTATTTCAGAATGCATGATCACTAAGATAAGGTTTGAAAGAAGAGTGACAATTACCGTGTTGAACAAGGTTGGAAAGCAAGTCAAGTAAGCCAAGGGAGTAGGTATGCAAATCACTGAAGGCAAGAGAGCATGCCACTGAATTTAAATGGGACCAGGCAAAGGAATGATGACTAGCAGGCCAGTGTGACCAGATGAGGTTAGGAGTGATCAGGGGCCACCCAGGACTCTGTGTAGCCCCACTGTGTGTGTGTGTGTGTGTGTGTGTGTGTGTGTGTGTGTGTATGTGCATGTAAAAGCATTGTCTTTAGATAGTGGAACTTCTGGAGGTACTTAAGCAGACTGCCTTTTTGGGGAAGGACACCCTAGTTATAGTTTAGAAATGCATCAGAGAAGGAGGACTAAGGCAAGGAGAAGACTACAGAAAGGGAGAGCACTTAAGAGGCTGCTGAAGGGGGCCAAGTGGGAACATGTAAGTCATCTCTTCTCTCAAGGCTTCCATTTCTTTTACCGGCATGTGAGGGTGACAGTCCTTGTCTTGCCTACCTCAGAGCATAGGGGTTTAAAAAAAAAAAAAAAAAACTAAAAAATAGCTACTTAGAACAGGAGTTAGCAAACTCTGCTGTAAAAGGACAGATAGTAAATATTTTCAGCTTTGCAGGCCTTATGGTCTCTGTCACAACTACTAAAGTTTGTCATTGTAGCTCCAAAGCAACCATACATATAAGAATATGTATAAGAATGAGTGCAGCTGTGTTCCAATAAAACTTTGTTTATGGACACTGAAATTTGCATTTTATATAATTTCCATGTGTCACAAAATATTACTCCTCTTCCATTTTTTCCCAACCATTAGGAAAATGTAAAAAGCATTTATAGCTCATGGCTGCACAGAAAACAGGGAGTGGGGGCCCAGATTTGGCCCACAGGTCATAGTTTGCTGACCCCTGACTTAGATTGTGCTTTTAAAATATCAAAACTTTTCATTTTTTTAAGGGAGAAGTATTATGATAACTATTTACTGGTGGTTAAATTTTATAGTATTTCATGGCTGTTGATCAAGTTTGCCATCTGTGTTATTTTTGAAATTATATATTTTCTGTTTATCAGTTGGTCTGGAATACTCTACTCTCTCAATTTTGCATAAGAACTTCCTGCAGTTTTGTTGACGGACCACTGAAGAAAGCTGCAGTCTCTGGACAAGCCTAAAACACCTTTCAACCTTTTGTATGATTTTCTTTAGAGAGGTGAGGGGTGGATTTGAAAGGACAGGAACATTAAAGCCAGACAAACCAGGGTTTGAATACAACCTCTACCAGTTTGCGACCTTGAACAAGTTTTACAGATTCTATGATTCAACATTTCTTCATTCATTCATTCATTTATTCAACAAATATTCACTGAGTACCTACTATGTGTCAGGCACAATGCAAGTCCACATGAGTACACTCATAAATGGAACACCATGTCTGCTTTCAGGGAGACTACGGATTTAAGAGAAGGCATCCACTTCTAATACAGTGATGTTATTGCAATAAGAAGGGAAGATGAGGGTGTTATGGGAAGACAAGAAGGGGCATGTGTCCCAGAGTCACTGACATACTAAATAAAGACTCCCTAGAGGTAACGGGTTCTAAACTGACACCTGATGGATGAGCAGTTGTCAGCCAGGTGAAGAAGCAGGAGGGAGTATATCCCATGCAAAGTGACTCACCTAAGGAAGGCTTACATACAAGACGGTGGGGAAAGGGGAGCTGTTGATAATGGAAAGTTGTTTATTGTGCTTGGGACAGGGTGGGCAGTGGTAGTGGAGAGAGACAAGACCAGAGGGGTGGGCAGGAGATTCATCATGGAGGGACTGTGAGCTGGGTGAAGTGGTTTGAAGTTTACCTTGCGGACAACAAGGCAGCACTGATGTATTTCAACTGAAGGATGGAGACTAAGACTGAAGGGGAACAAGACCAGAGGCAGAAAGACCAGACGGGAGGCTGCTTAAATAATCCACGTGAAACACAAGGGTGGCTTGAACAAAGTGAGAATGAAATTAAAGAGAAGGAAGCAGCTTCAAGAGCTTTTCTGGGGTAGAATTAATAAAGCATTGTGATTGATTCTAAGAGGGACATCAGAAAAAAGGAGGGCTCCCATATGTCTAGACTGAGAAGCTACGTGGATGGTGGCACCATTTATGCAGAAAGGGAAGTCTAACGGAGAAGTAGTTTCGGTGGAAAAATGACAGATTTATTTATAATCATACTGACCTTTCTGGGTTATTCTAAGTCTTAGAAACATTATATGTGAGGCGCCCACAAAAGTACCTGGCATGTCGTGGGTGCTTGATAAGTGGTGCCTCTTACTTTTGTTTCATTTTTTTAAAATCTATTTCAGGCCCTGTTTTGTTAAATCATGATGTTCTTTTGCTATTTAGTGTGAGCTCTTCAGAGCCACAAGAATTGCAGTTTTGTTCACCGTGCCGCACGTTTTCATGTGTGTTTCTTTCTCTCCTTCTCTTCTGCATGCTGCCTGGGGACTGGCTTCCTTGTGGTCAGCACCAATGGGCAGCGCCCAGGTGACCCCGGGGACTCCACTCTGCCTCCTCACCACAGGTGATCACCAGAGCCCTGGGCGGGTGGGAGGGGAGAGTTGCCCATGCTTAGTGGGTCCTCCAAGCCAGGTGCACCAGAGAGGAACCAGCAGTCCCTCCACCCCACCCACCCACTCACCCCTCCACCCATTCACCCATCAACCCACACATTCATTCATTCATCCAACCATCCATCCATCCCTCTGTGCATACACTCATCTGTCCACTCACCTATTCACTCATTCTACTAATGCTTACTAAGTACCTCCTGGGTGCCAGGCACTGTTCTAGGCACTGAGATGTACAATGAAGAGCAAAAGACGATATGTTCCAATGTCTTTCCAGGAGACGAAACAGCCATTGGTCAAAAACCTACACAAATGAATTTGCCACTTTGAGTGGTGTTACAAAGGAAAGGTACATGGTGTTCAAAATAAACAAACTCATGTGCAGCCAAGGGAGTGCTTCACAGGGGAAGTGACAGCTGAGCTGTGATATAAGTTTGGGAAAAAGTTGACGTAACAATTCTGTGCCTAGGAAATGAGAAGCTCTCACTATGATCTCAGGTCTACCATTTGTCCTGACAATTTACTCATACCATATCAGCCCGACTTTTCCTATCTGTTAAATAGGAATAATCCCACCTACCCCTTATAAGGCACCATTTACATTGTAGACTATACACATGCAGAGGCCTCTGAGACTAAACAAGATAATAAATGTCAAAGGAGCTGCTATGGGTATGCCCAGTCCAGAGTATATATTTGTTTGAAGTAAATACCAGCCCCTTTCCTCATGTACACCATAGGTGGAACTCATTTCACATGAATGTGTGCCATTCTTCAAAGGACACAGAGCCACTCATGTGAGAGGTCGACGTCCATCGTGGGACTCAAAAGACAAGCCAACCTAGAGACCTCTTGATTGCAGGGTGCCTTTTTAATCCGTGGGAAGTTTCTTGGAGATTTCAAACCTTTAACTGTCACCTCTCTTAAAGTCCTTGCCCAGACAATGGCCTCCGGTCTGCTAATGCCTGAATGGTCATTTTATCATGGTGGAAAAGAAGGTGCAGCAGGCAGTGATGACATGAGTCTGGGCATCCAGTACCTTCACAGTTCACTCCTGTCCACCCCCTTTCCCAAACTCAGAGACATCACTGCTAGTGAATGTCTTAGGTTGAGTTCCCTGGACACTGAGACTGAGATGGAGATTCTTGTGCAAATTATTCATTGCAGAGTGTTCTCAGAAGAAAGGGAGGAGGATGAGATACGGCAGAGAACAAAGCTAAGGGAGGATGTGGAGACCTGCATCTGCCTGAACCCCGGGAAAAGGGGAGGTATGGAGCAGGAAATGTACTAAAGAGTTGGTCCCACCTTGAGGCAAGGGGGCCAATATTTGTACCATGGTGTTGGTCAGCCACTGGCTGTGGGCTGCCTTGGGAATGCATTACATCCTGGGGAAGTGGTTCCCTTTTGCCTAATGGTACTTCTCTTGGAAGGGAGGTATTTGTGAGCCATTTGCTGCCAGCACCCACAGCACCTGGAGAGTAGTCACACCAGCCCAGTAAAGGAGATTGGGACTGAGCCTAAACAGTGTCCACTATGGGCGAGTTTTGTCTCTGCCTTTGAACTGCCATGGACACCTGTACTCCAGTGTGTCACTGCAAACATTACAGGAATTTCATCTCAGCCACTCCCTGTTAGATTACCTTAAGCAAGTTGCATAGCCTTATTTCACTTGCAAAACTAATTATCAGATGTGCTTCATGCAGTTATATTAAAAATTCCATTAGAAAATGCTAGGAATGTTGTGTGCGGTCACTGCACATAGTAGGTCTTTACTGAAATCAGTCCCCAGCCCTACGTTATCAGAGGCCCTTCCCAAAGGGAGGTAGGAGTTACAGATGGACACGTGGGAGTGTGCAGATCGACAGCGGGAGAAAAGTGACTCTCGCCACTGTGCACACCACCAATTTACAGAGAAACAATACTTCTCCAGAGTGTGTGCAAGCTGCTCTGTTTCTGCTGGGCCATTGTTCTCTGGGCTCTATTCAAGTCGAGCAGTCAGATAATATTTTCTTTAAACAGAGCGAATCCCATATCATGTGCTTTTGTTCTTACTTCTTGTCTTCTAAGGCATCTGAATGTTCCTCCTGTGACAGGTTTATTTCATTGTGATCCATTTATTTCCACATGTTTCTCAGCCTCATTTGATGGGCGAGGTGCCTGTGAGTGCCATCCCTTTCAAAGGGTGTTTTTGTTAATGTTCGTCCCCTGGTAGCAATAATGGCTGATGTAAATAATAACTGCCTAGGTCTGAATGATGGGGATATTAGACTTTAAGCACAGGCAGCCTCTTTTCATATCAACACCAACTCAGAGAGCTGCAGGACCACATTATGTAGCAGGGATAGGCCGGCATTCAGAGTGAATGGAGGCTGAGTTCAGCTCTCAGCAATGCCACCTTCTGGTCTGGTGATCCTGGATAAGTTATTTTTCTTTTCCAGACTTCATTATCTTTATTTGGAGAAATTGAAATATTAATAACCACAGTCATAGTTAATCATGAGAACTAAGTAAGAGCTTTAACTTCTTTGCCCATCTAGCTCCAATTAGTTCTTTAGCTCTTCTGGATTTATTGGCTTATCCTTCAAGGAATTCATGCTCTATGGCAAGATTGTGCAACCCCAGCACCATTGATGTCTGGGACCGGATAGTTCTTTGTTGGGGGCAGAGTTAGGGGTGCTGTCCTGTGCACTGTAGGATGCTTAGCGGCATCCCTGCCTCTCCCCATTAGATGCCAGCAGCATGTCAATCCCAATTGTAACAACCAAATACATCTCTAGACATTCCCAAATGTGCCATGGAGACAAAAATCATCCTCCATTATAAACCTCCAGAGCCATACTGTTTAATAGAAATAGAATTTGAATATTGTATGTAATTTTAAATTTCTTAGTTACTTGAGAAAAGTAAAAAGAAACAGGTGAAGTTAATTTTAATAATATAATGTATTTAACTCAATACAGATGCTCCTCAACTTATGATGGAGTTTTGTCCCAATAAATGTATCATAAGTTGGAAATGTTGTAAGTTGAAAATGCGTTTAATACAATTAACCTGCGGAACATCATAGCTTAACCTAGCCTACTTTAAATGTGCCATGCTCAAAACACTTACATTAGCCTAAAGTCGGGCAAAATCATCTAACACAAAGCCTATTTTATATTAAAGTATTGAGTAGCTCATGTAATTTATGGAATACTGTACTGAAAGTGAAAAGCAGAATGTTTGCACCAGTACTTAAAGTACAGTCTCTACTGAATAGGTATCACTTTCTCAGCAGCATTGTAAACTCCAAGAATCTTAAGCCCGCCTATCTTAAGTTCACAATCATCTGGTATATCCAAAATATTATTATTATAATATGCAACAGAATTAAAGAAAACAACAGATGAAAGCTATTTTACATTCTTTTTTTGTACTAAGTCTTTAACATTTGGTGTGTATTTTACACATAGAACACTTCAATAAAATAAATTTTAAAATTCAGTTCCTCAGTTGCACCAGACACTTTTCAAGTGCTCTAAGTACGTGTCTTCGTGACTACCATTGTGGGCAGCGCAGATCTAGAGGTAACACATCTAGGGTCATCTTTGTCCCTAGTTGCTGAATAGAAATGTATGTGTAGAGAAGAGGTTCATATTCAGTTACTTTTATTCCTTGTTGCTCTCTGGGGCTAGGGGATGTTTGGCAAAATCTGGAGATTTATTTGGTTGTCACAACTGGGTGCGAGGGGCTATAGTCACCTAGTGGGTAGAGGTCAGGGATGCTTCCATTGAGAGAAATAAGATAAAATCCTCTTTGGCCAGGATTGGGCATTTTTCTGCAGTGAGTTGACTGGAGGCTGCAGTAGAGAAGTGACCAGTTAATTAACATTAAGAGGACTCAGTCTTCCCCAGGCCCACCAGTGCAGAAAGAAGGCCTCTTCTCATATCCCTCCTGCAGTTCAGCCAGGCCTCAAGGGGGTGGCCTGGACCTCTGAGCCCAAGAGGAGACAGACAGTGTTCAGTCTGGAGGCCACAGTAGCTGTGCTACAGGTCATCCTCAGGGGCAGATCTGACTTCATTGTCTTGGCCATGCCCAGTGCCCATTGTCAATTTTCTACAGAGAGAAGGGCTAAGGGACAAGCCCTCATCTGGAGCCCAAACTCCATTCCTTAAAACTGAGGGAACTTGGCCGGGCGCGGTGGCTCACGCCTGTAATCCCAGCACTTTGGGAGGCCGAGGCGGGTGGATCACAAGGTCAGGAGATCGAGACCATCCTGGCTAACACAGTGAAACCCCGTCTCTACCAAAAATACAAAAAATTAGCTGGTGTGGTGGCAGGCGCCTGTATTCCCAGCTACTCGGGAGGCTGAGGCAGGAGAATGGCATGAACCCGGGAGCCAGAGCTTGCAGTGAGCTGAGATCGCACCACTGCACTCTAGCCTGGGTGACAGAGCAAGATTCTGTCTCAGAAAGAAAAAAAAAAAAAACTGAAGGACCTTGAGCCAATCACTCAGCCTTTCACCTTTCTGAGCCTCACCTTCTTCATTTATGAAATAGTAAAGTTGAGTCCCTGTACAGCCAGGCCCAATCATGGTGAGGGCTAACAGAAGAAATGGATGCACTCCTAACCCAGCTCCAGGTTTGAGCAGGTATTGGATACAACTTCCCTTATTATTCCTTTATTTCCTGTGCACCTCATGTTAAAACTCTCTCCTATTATTTCCCTGGAAATTCTTTAAATCAGGGCCTTGGCACAGTGACAGGATTCAGGTCATCATACACTCTCTGGGAGTGCTTCGCAGCTGCCCTTAAAGCAACTTTCCCAGGGATGGCTCCACTTGGACCCAGGTAGAAGGAGTTTGAGCCTTTGGGACAAAGCTGTTTAGGCCAAGAGAAGGTGATGAAGCAAGGCAGCAGTCTCCCTAGGGTCATGCCCTGGGCCCTGTGAGCTTGGACACCGTGAGGCCTCGGTG